CCTACTGGTTTTTGGAAATACCACACATTTTTTCAACAAACATAGAAATGGGGACAAGGCACTCTCAAGTTTTTGCTAGAGATGTATTGGAAATAAGCAATATGCTCCAAATTCTAAAACATTGACGGAGCAAGAAGAAAACCAACTCAATGGGACTCACTTGAAGCACTTGCAGAAATCTTCAAAGTCCATCCAGATATCCTTGGGCACCATCTTCTCAACTTTGACCTCCTCTTTGGGCAGTTCAGCACTTCCTGCCTCCCCCTCCATTGTCGATCCAAGTCCCTCCCCTGCCCCAGTGACCACCGATACGGTATCGGTCATTTCATCCCCCGGCTTCAAAGAACCTAGCTCTGAAAGAAAAATGTCACAACAAAAACAAGTCAATACACAGCTGGGGCACTTCAGGCTTTCTATCTGATACTGGGAAATCATCGTAAGTAGCCCATAAATCAGAGATTTCACTGATCATTTGTCTCTCACTCACCGGATTTATCACAGGATTCTTTCTCTTTGGTCTCCTTGGTTTCTACCTTGGTTTCCTTGACAACTACCTTAGGTTCTGCCTTGCCAGGAGTCTTGTCAGAACCTTTGCTGACCTTGCGGGCTGACTTCTTCCGAGTTGGGCTCACACTCTTTGTGGAAGAGAAGAGTCACAGGAAAAGGTATGAAAACACTGCAACAGCCACAAAATGAAGCAAAATTTGTTTTTAGACATTTCAACACTGAAATGAAAACCGGTTGACGAATTCTGTTCAAAAGAATTGTACCTTCTCCTTCTCTTTGTCGTTTTCAACTTTGGGGCTCTTATTGTCAACACGTTTAACGACAGCTGACGTCTTACGGCGACTGTTCGGAGAGGTACAGGTGGTGGGCACTGGTGATATGCCATCAGGTGGTTTCTGGAAGGGAACCAGTGAAATCAATAACACAACTCACTAATGAAAACCTTCCCCTAACCACTTCCTAATACTCCAACTCACCCGTTAAGAAGATAGGTACCTTAAGATATCTCAACTCCTAGATGTCTTTCTCATGATCTTAGACTTTGTGCCCAATATACCAAGTTTCCCGATTTAACTTCATACCATACCTGGGTTCTCACATCTGGAAAAAGGTTCGGTCATCAACATCATATTTCTGAACAAATCACATTGCTTATCATATTCTGCTCTGCCTTGCCCCATCCAGGGCAACTCACTTTCTCGATACTCACCTCAGAGAAGAGACTTTCTCTGGTCTCTGACTTCATGCTCATCTCTTGCAGTCTCTTCTGCTCCTGGGCAGCCTTGCGTTCCTCCTCGGCCTTGGCCTCTTCTTCTTCTGACTTCTCCGGGGCGTTCTCATCCACCTCGTGAATCTCCAGCATGCAGGATGAAGCCCGACCAGTGCGAGAACCACCTCGGGACAAGGATGACCTCGGACGTTTGCTGTTTGGGTGAGAAAAGGAGAAAAAAGAAACTGTCAGATGTTACAATGTGTCTTTTGATGTGGGGCAATTCTGTGTGATATTTGACCCCTATATGTTTGCTTGGTGAGGTTTTTATTCACCATCGTAATCCCCCCCCCGAGTTGAAGTGCACCCCCAAGCGGCAAAAGAAAGACAGTGTGCTCCGTGTCAAACGTGCCTTTGATCTCCATTCTAAACGAGCGCTTTGCAGTGAGTACCAAAAAAACACGCCCTCTCTTGTTGTGCTCGGAGTGGATAGGAATGCTTGACAATAGAGGGTCATAACACGAGTAACAATAATTCTCCATACCTGTAGAAACTTTGATTTACATTTTTCTATTTTGGATACTTACATATCTGTTGGGATGGGTATCGGACTGACTCTGTAGTTGACATATGGTGAGGTCAACTGAACAAACTGCTCTGGTTTCTTGACTTCCAACTCTGAAATTCAAAACCAAAGAGTAAACAACACATGCACTCTAATCAGTTAGGAAAAAAAATACGTATGTTCTGCAACGTGCCCAGAGGTGTGATACAACTGTTGTTGCATACTCAAAGTTGTGGCTTGGAAACCTACCTGCTGCTTCATCTGTGGGTGCCACTTTCTTCTTCTTGGGTCGTATCATCTTCCAGGCAGGGATCTTAGGAGGTGGCGGGGGAGCCACTAGGGGACATGAGCGGGTTTGAGTAATGAGTAAAGGATGGGGGTTGACGTGGGACAAGCCGGCTTGCCTGAGACGCTCAGACGCATCAGCCTGTTACAAAGATGAAGCAAGGCAAAAGTGAAGAATTAATCCTATGTCTTTATTCAGTATTGTAGTCAAGACCATCACAAGGCCAGACACAAGACCTGACACAACACCAAGCACAAGACCAGTCACAAGTAACAGGGTGAACAATGACAAAGGAATGCTTTTGCTGCAGTTCATTTGAATAGCTTGACTTGAATTCAGACTGGAGGTCTTGTATTGATCTTGTGCTGGTCTTGTGAAGGTTTTAAGTGGTCTCAACTACCACACTGACTTTACTTCAAGGTTTCAGAAGAGTTCTATTACATGTAGAAGATTTATAGCAAACTGGGCAAAGATTGCAAAATTTTATTTTGATAAAAGTATCATGAGCTTAGCTATTGCTGAAGTGTAAACTTCCTAATGCAAGGGAAACCCTAGGATCTCAATACACGGAGGAATAACGTACCTCAAAACAGTAACTGAATACACAATGAAAATGGTAACCAAAAGGGCGGCCAAAGCTCTAAGTCTGGGACTCACCATTTCTCCCAGCACGGATATTCTGATGGGTACTTTAGGAGGATGTTGGTAGCTGACAAAGACAGCTACCTGAGGTGTCTCAGGTATGACGGGGGTAGGTTGGTCCTTGTCTGATTGGGGGAAGGAGAAAGGCTTTCATTTGAAAAAATTTTGCTTTGCATTTACCTTTTTGTGCTTAATTATATCCTTGGTTTCATCAGAAACTGACATATCGTTGATAGTTGCTGCACCACGAACTGACGTGTCGTGTGTCCAAGTCATGGATGTTATGTCACTTTATAGTGCACCAAAGCTATCATATATGTCACTTTCTGATGAAACCAACAATACATTTATGTACGCATCTATTAAAAGTTTTTACAAATAAGGAGCATAGGATCAAAAAAGGGATTAATTAGGCTCGTTTTTTTTTCAAACTGATGCATGTGCAACATGCCAGCTAAACATTAATACCAATGCATGGAGCCGACATTCGTGTCACAGTGCTTGTGTGCTGTGATCAAAATGCAACACTTGGCTTACTGTCACCTCTTTCCCATTAACACATTTTTAATGATGGTTTGAATTTAAAGTTGATCTATACCAATGACAAAAATACCTTGAGTTGTCAAATTCAAGTGGGATATATTGTGTCTGGTGTTAATGTTATACTTTAAGATGTAAACTAATGTGTAGATATGACAATTAAGTTCTTTGTGTATAAATGTGGTGTTAAAATGACAAAAGAAACATGCAGTATTAAACTTCAAATCCTGTGAGATGAATGTTGTGAAAACCACACATTTCATCTTGATGCAAACATCAAAACAGGGTGTACTTCACATGCTGGTATAATACTGGTCAAGTGCTGATCACATGCTGGTCAAGTGCTGATCAAATGCTGGTCAAGTGCTGATCACATGCAAATCACATGTCAAAAGAGCGATATAACAACACAAATTATGAAAGTGATTTGTGTTTCAAGCACAAACTGAACATGTTGGTGACTTCTGAAAGTGATCTGTACCACCATAAATGACGGAACAATCATGCAAAAAACCCCATGTAACAAGTTACTGATAAAAAGGAAATATCTGGAAATAAAACATTGACTAACAGAGATTAATAATAGGTAGAATTAAGTAACAGAAATGAATTGATCCAGGACAGGTGGTTATTGTGATTCTGAAGATTAGTGAAATGAGATAAGCCAGCATAGATGTAGTCTGGAGGTGAACTAGACAAATAAATCCTTGTTAAAGAGTTTGATAAGGTTAGTGGAACCATGGACCAGAAAACTGAGAGAAGACAGGAAAACGTGCAATTATTGTTGAACAACAAGTATTTCTAGATTTAATGATGCTGATAAAACATGCTTTTGGTTTATTGCATATGGATAGAAATCTATTTGAGTAAAATGCTGATCTGTCTTTTTGTTTCTGGTATATTTTGGAAATGCCAGCATATGTGAAAGACCAGTGGGACGCTTGGTTCAGTAGTTGTGTTGTGTTTTAAACTGGCACTGTGATGATTCATTGGGGAAAATCATAAGGAAGGTTTTATTCACTGTATGTATCAGTTTAATATGTCAATCAATGTGATCAGTTCACTTTTATTTTGGTAGTTTTACAGACCACCTGACTCGCTGTCATGTGACTGATTTGCACATGAATCCCAACACTTCAAACCAACCGTTGGGTGCTTATTAAAAAGAGCAGACCAGCAGAAATTTAGCAAACAGTCAAGTCAGGATTGGTAGAGAAAAGAGTCTTGTAAGAACTCAGAGTGGAAATGCTGTTGATGAGACATGCTAGGTCACAATTCCACACAGCAAAGGTGGTGTTTAGATTGATGGCTTTGTTTATTGGCATGCTTCGTTAAAACAGACCTAACAGCCCTTCCTTGTCAATTGGTCCTGCGATCAGTAAGGGAGCAGTAAGGAGATGGGTTTTAGCAAGGGGGGAGGGTTAAACAAAACAAAATTATTATTACAAAGGCCAGGGGAGGGTTAATGGAGGGGGAACGATTTCAAATTGGTCAGAGACCATGATCAATAATGCATCTTGCTTAGGATATGCCTTTCATTATCAGCAAGTCTGAGTATTTGTTCAGATCAGTTCAAACTTTATTTGAATGTGAATTGAGCAATGCTTTATGAAGAAAAATTGTGATATGTTTAAAGATGAGAGGCTTTTCTGCACGGGTTAAACTACCTCCAATGTAACTTTTGTTTTGAAATCAGTATTCACAGTAACTTGGAAAAATCTTTAGCTAAAATGCTTCAAGAGCAAGAATCACAATTGCATGGAATTCTGGGAACTTTTGTATTTACAACTGGCCACTTTCAGGCAAAACTCCACAAGGGTATGAAATATTGCATCACTGTAAAGAAAGAGGGTCTTAAAACAGGTTTGCTTTGGCACTGAGGTGCTTACGTTTGTCTTTCTCCTTGTCTTTGTCTTTCTTGTCCTTTTTATCGTCCTTGTGCTCCTTGTGGGTACTTTCTTTGCCTCCTTTCTCTGATTTATCACCTGTTGATGTCCATTGGAGAACAAATAAAATGAGATGAAAAACATCTCCAAACCATCTATCAACATAAAAATCTGGAAGGTAAACAAACAAATTTTATGAGCCAACGAGAACATTTGTTTTCAAAACCTTAAGCCTTAAGCTCACTTTTGCCTTCTTTTCCTGGCTTATCCTCTTTGCGAGATTCTTTTGTCGTCGAGGACACCTCATCTGACTTGCAGTCCTTTTTGCCTGCTCCTTCGGCATCTGCCTCTTTCATCTGCTCCTCGGGATCCGGCAGTTTGAACTCAGGTAGGAGTTGCTTCAGCAGGAGCCAGACTTTGTCAAGATGGCCGTACCTGAGGAAATTAATTGTGGAAATATTGATGAGTGACAAGAAACTCTTTGAAACACCTATAGTATCAATGTAATAAAACGTAAATTTAAATATTTAAGTCATGGCCAAAATTTGTTAATAATTACTCCGTGCAAACTGATAGAATACCAATTGAAACTCTGAACAAATCTGAAGACATGAAATTAAACAGTATTCCAATAAACGACGAATCAAATGCAACTGAAACTGTGTTAGAATACGTTAAGTGCGTAACTGAGCTCAATCAACTGTATATTTTAGACACTGACAAAATTAAATATGCAGCGGAATTTGGCATGGAATACAAACAACTAAAATGCATGTTTAAGTACATTTTCCATAAAACATAGTTTGTAAAAAGGATTGAAATTCATTTCTGAACATCTTTTCAAAAGTAACTACACAGATGCACTACACTTAAAAGTACAATAACCTAACAATTAAAACCTTGACAAAATTAATACAATCATTACATTCTTTTCACAAAAACTTCAAGTTAATCATCAAAGCAAAACATGAATATCTCCGAAAGCTGCACAAAAGAACGAAACTGCAGCTTCAGTGTTCAACATCTGTTTACCCTCCAATGTAATCCTGTTCTCGTGGCTGACAAAACACCATCTGAAAATCCTGGACTTTCCAATCACTGCCAAGCGTGTTACACGTTCCTCCAGCAGGGATCAATTCTTCCAACATATCTGCCTTAGTCAGCAGAGCGTGCTTCATCTTTTGGTACAACCTCCTTGTTGCATTGATTACAGTGGGTGAGTCGTTAAAAAGTTTGACAGACAGCTTTAAGGGCATTGAGGTATCTTTGAAAAGACATGGGCAGCCTCATCAGCTTCTAGAAAGTACTGCTGAGCAATTTTTCTTATGAAACAAACTTTGGCTGGTAACCAGTCAATACGATATGGATTACATGCCAATTCGGCTGGTAAACTGTTACTAAAACTTTGATGTGCTTTGCAGATTTGTATGCTTAGCAGCAAACGAGCACACAGTTTCAAAGCAAATGAACAACTCCTTGAACTAAAATAAATCCAAGTTTGAAGAGTTCATCGTTGAAACAGACTTTTTCAGATCACGCTGTCCTAACTGGATAAATCTGGTACAGTATCTGGAAATCGAATTGTGAAGTTCTTCACAGAGATGTACATGTATAATGATTTAAGGGGAAATCTGACGATAGGATCTTTGGGGAAAGAATCAGGAAGTACTCACTGAAGAGGTATGGTCTCTGGTAGCCAGCCTGTCAATGCATGGATCACACTCACATCACCAAACTCACAGCTACTACTCCCAGCAGCATAACTAGAAAGGAGAAAAAAATGCATACAAATTCAGAGAGCATACTCAGCTCGATTGAGAAGTGATATTTATGCGAGTTCTCCCATCAAGGAGTTTGTACTCTGATCAGGCAGGTAATACTCACTCTAATGAGATGACTTTGATGAGGGCTTTACTGAGAAGCATCGGCCAGAGCTCATGCTGTAGCGTGGTTGCTGGCAGTAGCATATTGCCGTTGTCATCAAATGGGATAGTGTCATCAATTGTAACCTTACGCCAGCAACCCTATTAAAGTAACATACCACCGATCAGGTAAGTTCTTTGAAAGTATTCTTTGAGATAAACATAACTTCAATAATAATAGTTACAACAGAGTTTGTTGTATGCTGATTAGCACGGCACAACAAATGAAAATAGATCAATAAATCTTCCAGTGTAATAATTCTGCAACAGACATCTCAAAAATCAAAACCTCCACAAAGGTCTGCATAAAACCTCCAAAGTTTGACACGTTCGATTCATTCTGTCAGTATTTTAGCACACTGTCCAGTTTGCATTTGGATGCTAGCTTGCGCTTCAGTGGCTAAATTCTATTTCAAAAGATGTATTCAATAAAGCAATAAAATGTTGTCCCTGAAAATGCGCTGTACTCACCATCCAGTAGAGTCTGACAATGTACTTGCCGTGGGGGTTGTACTGGGGTTGATGAGGCCCCTTCCCCACCCGACACAGGGCAAAAATGTGGTCCCAGGGACGCCAGTTACGGGCTACGCCCCCAACGACTGACATGGTGGAGGTCTCCGGCTCATTACGGTCGGCAATGGAGACACGCCATAGGCTTGTAATCTGGCTGATGATCCAACGCATTGTCTACATGGAAAATTGGGGTAAATCAGCATCAAGAAATGCCTGCAGGCAAAAGAGCCCTCAGTTGTCTTCAAAAATGCCAGGCAAAATTCAAAGACCTTACTGATGTGACTTGAGAAAAAAATTTGCCTCTCGTCCAGGGAAAATTTTACAGTACCTAGCTACTTATGAATAACAGAATTGGTTTATTGGGTATGACTTCAAGGACTGAATATAATTCTAGAAAAACTGACCTCGCAGTCATTGATGTGCGAGTTGGCACTAAGCAAATCAAAGTCCATCCCATTGTCTGGGTCATAAATGACTGGCATCTTGTCCGTTATGAAGTCCTGCGGCCTCAGGAAGTGGTCAACACGTGCCCTGAGAGAAGGCGGCATCTCGATGCGACCCTCGGGGTCATCAAAAAAGTGTTGCTGAATGGTCAAAGGTGTAAAATGACAGGTGATATTAGATCAGTTGGGTGAGTCAGGAGCAGACTGCTTCAAACATAAACTTCCCAAGATCCCAACCAGTTTTCTGGCAGTTTGAAACCTCTTGCCTCAAGATGGGTGTTTATGGTCTGCATACACAAGCGTCTCTGTTGCAGTATACAAAGGAAAAACAAAAACTTACCATGCTGCTCGGACTTTTGCCTTTCTCCTTTTCTTTCCCTTTGTGCGGTGCGTCCTGTGCAACAGAAATAACAGATATTTCAATCTCACCAAATGGAGAGAAAAAGCTTGCATAATACATGCTGAGTAGAATGGCAAATCTCCCTGATCAGGGTCACCAAAAGACCTTGAGTTCCAACTGTCTTTGGCTACATTTCAAGGGACACCCAGACTACAAGACCAAGACCAGGGGATGAGAATTAACTGCCCAAACTGCTTCTGTTAGGTTCCAGGACTGAAATTACAGGCCTAATGTAATTCAAGCAGAGAGTCATGGCTGTAAAGAATTCATTCCAAGAATGAGAGGAAATAAATCTGATTTCAGACATTTTGCAAGGTTAAACTTTCACTCTTGGACGTCTCTCATTTCACACTGTACAAAAGACTACCTCAGATTTGAAGGCACTTTGTTTTGGCCATACCCATTTTTCTGCATTAACGTCCGTATCGTTCCATTCTGGCCAGATGACTAGTTTTTGTTTCCTTCCTTCCTGCGAGCCAACCACACTGGCAGCAATGGATGCAGCCCTGCAAAACAAAAGGAAAAAAGTCCTTCTTTCAAGTGAGCCACAATGACTGTTTTCCAAAAATTATTCTTTTCGCACAAATCAAATCCGTTAGACATCCACCTACCTGTATGGCACCGGAAGTCCTTGTGAAAATACAATTCACAAAAGCAGTCAAAATGCTCTACTTACTGATATAACTTCAAGACAGCAAGTGAAATACAAAATGCGCTAGCGCAAGTGCCTGCAAGTTAATAAATGTTCACAGAGGTTTGGAAGTTTTCACCTGATGGCCTTGATCCCACGACTTTCACGTGATGAAACAACTGGTTGCAAACTGGAAGGCATTTGATTGTTTGAATTTGTATCAATCTACAGGATAACCTCTCCCGGCCCCTTAAAACTTAAATGCCCAAGAGAATGCGGAGACAGTACGTCAAGGTGTATGCATCAAGGGAAGACTCATACGATAATCTAACTACACCAGGTGTCGGTGATGATTTTCAAGACTGCTTGAACTATCTATGATGCTTCGAAACAAAGCAAGCACTATGGCGTCTGTTTGTACAGTAACTCAAACGTCTTCAAACATGAGACGGCTTTTGTATGCACAATCCCGGCTGGAAGAAAACAAATGTACACTTGGATTTAACATGTAGGAGGGGCATCTATAGCCCCTGTTGTCTTGCCGACCCTGTGGACAAGAGTCTAGAGAAAGTGTTCCAAACCCTGGGGCTATGGGTATCTGAAAGAACAGAGCTGCTCCAACCCTAAGGCTACTGATACTTCTTTTCCACTGATCAGGAATAACTCAAATATCCATCCTGTAAATAAGAACTTGTATGGATTCTACGCTTTGGCACATGCTAAGAGAAGAAAACCCAAACTAATACTGTTGTTACAGGGAAGTCCTTCTCTGCCATAAAGACAAATCCAATAGGACTGTGTGCACTCTGATGATAATTTCTTTGGCTAGACATACTATTTACTTGTGATTTAAAAATAACATAGGCCTACATGTACATATGTTGTTCCCCTTCTTTACACTCAAGTGACTACCTTACATACCACCTGCTACAATTCTTGCAGAAAGTGCACAGGGCCCAATTTCATGGTGCTGCTTACCCCAGTTTTCCATGCTTACAATCTCCATTCTGCACTAACCGTGCTAGCATAAATATTCTGTGCTGACCTTTTAAGCACAGAATCTTTCGTTATGGGATGTATTCATGCGCACAAGCCAAAATTCCTTGATAACCCATGAAATCCGTTCGGCGTAAGCACATAATTTTTTGTTGCGGTAAGCGCCGATTTTTCGCTTGCGGTAAGCAGCGCCATAAACTTGGGCCCAGATCGCAAGTTTAACATAAAAAGAGAAATTACTCCACCTTCTTGATAATAACTGTAGGCTACTCCTTATGTATATATACACTGCAGCTGATCTTTTAAGTATACTTGTCAAGAAATGTGCATTCAAGGTAAGTGGAAATTTGAAAAGGTTCAAAATCTGAAATATAGGCTATTTATAATTACATTTTTTGGGGTAAATATATAGGTATCTAAAATGAAAAAAAAATTAGTAAATGTTATACCCAATTAAGAGACAATTTCTTACCGAGCCAATATAAAATCTCGAATCTTAGCTTTCTCACGTTTGCTAAGGAATGATCCATCACCTTTGGATGACATGGTGAAAGCACTGATACACCCAGCCAACAGTCTGAGTTACTCGAAAGATTTCACAGAAGTAATTCCAAAACTTATTTATTCCAAAATAAAAACTAAATTGCAAATGCAGATTCTGTGTAGCGTCGTCAATAAATTTGTTTCTTTTCACGATGAATTCCATGATTTAAATATGAAAGAGCAGCCACCACTTACACGTTACAAACTCCAAAATTCCACAAGATTAGATCCACTCTTAAGATAATCAAAAATAGGCCTGATGAATGCAAAGTACCCATTTAGGTGTAAACCATCAAGTGCTTCACTGCCATGATAAAAGAAATCAGCCCCAATTGGCAACATTAGGAGAGCTTTTCAACCTTCCAGAGAGTAGAAAGGTGATTATCCTCTGACCCTTTTGGCTGGCCCGACTCCCAAAACCGTGGATTCATCACCTATTGAAACAGCTCAATGGTGATAAAATCAGATTTGTGGGGCTCAAAAATTCCCAGTAATACTCATTAGCACTAACTTGGACAGAATTGAGAGATTATTGATTGTTATATCACACCCCCACAATCAGCACTGGTGTCAACCATGTCGACGTTTCTTTTGTACTATCTGTAATTTATGCCTAACAAAACTTCATAAGCTAAATAAACTTCATAAACTACTATAATCAAGAAACTACCACACACAAGACACTACCTTTTAAGCAAACCTGGCATTCCAAAATAAGTATTTCCACTATTCCCCAGGTTTTCAGCTAACAAGCGCACAAACATCAATGAACTGAAGTTCACTGTAGTTTGACTGATGTAGCTAACCAAACTGCAAAGGCTAATCCCATCTTATAGGTTGCAAGGAAGGCACAAAACACCATACTGATCTGGAACAACATAATCAATACCTGTCACACTTACACAAAAGCAAACCAGGTCAAAACAAATTACATTCCAGTGTCCCTCTAAACATTTATCTCAAGACCCACTGAAGGACCGCAACACCTACGTCAGTAGTTTGATTTTTATCACCCATCCAAAGATCTCTTGGATTGTCTATGGATGTCAGGATTATCCCTTAAAGTGATTAAATGCTGGTCATGACAGAAGTTACAATGGCCTGACAAGATCTACACACCTATCTCATCAAATATTAATCACGAACAGAAAGTACTTTCCTCAACCCTGTAAGTATGGATTCATGATGTGAAAGACTGTTGAACATGTAAAGGAAAAAAAAGAAAAATTATGTAACCTTTTGGAAATGTTTATGAATTTACATATTATGTATATCTTTTGTTTTTAAAAGATCACTAGGAGTTACAGTTCTGACCAACAACATACTCTCATTTCATTAACTGGACTCACTGCTAAAATCCAAACGGCACATTTAGATCATACAGTTAGTGTCTCTCACAGCTGCTCACTTCTAAAACTTTTAAGATAAAACTCCTTTTTGGAAAATTTCACTTTAGTAGTTTGTACCGCTTATTTTGTTGATGTCACTTTTTGAAGGTCACTCTTTCTCATCTGATAAATCCTGTAAAAATTGACAAGGTATCAACAACTTGATACCATGAGGGCAATACAAATTTGTGTGCTTAGCAACATTGTTGTATAATTGAATGTAGCATTTATGGGCAGATTTTTGCCACATAATTGGAGAGTAAAATGAATACCCAATATGTGTGTTATGTATGCATGATATATGACACACTTTTATTTCAGAAAGGAGTACACTGAATACTTGGGACTCATATGGAGTCTTAGCTGTATAGTGTTCCATGTGCCAAAAGTTCTTGATATTAATATTTGGAACTTTACATGACTAAATAGCAATAACTGTAAACCATCTGACTGTGCCATACATGTATATCAACCATTCAAAAACTAGCCAGGAGAACAAACACTATGCATTAAAATTCACCTAATAATCATGACAATGTTAATTTTACCTTCAAGTTCAAAGCTTGGTGTTAGTAAATATTATTATGGTGAACAATGCATCCTCAAACACAATCAAGGTGAACCCGTGTTTTTGATAAATTCCAACCTGACAACAGATCGATTCACATTCAGGTGACATTTCTTGTTAGATTTATTATATTAGGCTAATTCTATTTGTTTTGTTTGGTTTTGCTTTGTTTTTGTTTATCTATCAATGAATTAATCACAAGCACTGTATCATAATCTGTAAACAATGTGTGTGTTAATTACAGTTAGTCTTGCATGTTATATTTTTGTTCTGTCCCTCTGTAAAATTGTCCTTAGGCAGTCCAAAGGTTTGGGGAACTATTAACAAAAGCATTCTGCTTCACTCAATACTTAACGTTCCTTAATCACCTTCACATGTCATATGAACTTAAATAGAGCCTAAGTACAACAAAATCTGTTGGTGTTAATCATTAACCCTAACAGTCCTCAATCCTTCACCTGTTGGAGGACTGAGGACTGTTAGGGTTAATATTAAATGTGGATCCTAATGTTGTCGATTTCCTTATTCTTAAACTTGTATTGAAGCGATTAAGTACATGACGTTGAAATAAATGTTCAGAATCATCACCGACGCATTAGTCTTGTGTGTATGGGTCATGGTGCAACACAGGATATAGTGCATTTAAGCCTATCGATAAAACTTTGCAGAGCAGACATCGGCCATGTTTGTTTGGTTTCGGCACGGCAAAGCAGTGTCAACAGTAGGCCAACGTACAGACCGGCAAAACGACATAAACTTACTCCTTATTTGAGGCGGAATTCACCCTGTTTGTTGATTTTTTCTCTTTTGCAAGCTTGGAAGACATATCTTTGGTATTCCAAAGCCCCAAAGAGGCTTTAAAACGTGTTAAAATAAGTGATTTTAGTGCAAGGTAGCAACTGTAAAGTGCCCGTCGTCAAGCACGGAGGTCAAAGGGTCAATCGGCATTATCAGCATGGTACTGTGCGCCATTCTCCTGTATAAGGAACAGTTTTGTTGCCTGGGTACTAGATCAACCGATGGATAATAATGCGCGTGCGTATTTCAATTAAACGTGTGCCGCAGGCTTGCATGCAGGTTGTTGGAAGGCTTTTTCGATGCATTATGCAACACTTGATGCGATCTGCCTGTTGTTTATGTATGTACAGACGGTTGAACCTTGTTAATAAGAGGTCCTTCGGATTTTGCAAATTACCTTGTTATGACAGAAACCTTGCATTGTCAGGAATGAAAATAATGAAAAACAAGGATTGGGACCTAAAAATTGTCTTATAAGCAGAATCTTTTATAAACGATGTTCTTATTAAGTTGACGAGGTGACGGATCTGTATTGAGATCTACATGTATAAAGTTACAGGGCCTGACCTTTCAACAAACTCATAAAAATGAACGACTCAAAAACTAACATAACACTTGATGTGAGATTTATATATGGTGATTGGACAAAAATTTACCCCAAAAAAAGAAAGAAAGAGGCGAAAAAAGAAGTAGACAGGTACAAAAAGGGATATTTTTTCATGAGGTCTAAATTAAGATACGGAAAATATATTGTTATATATTTTATTGCTTAATTGATGACGATGAAAGTACATGTATTACTTTTTGAACCATAATTTTGTTATTCGAAATATGATCACTTTAATAGATCATAACTCACTCGTCTTCAGCGATCGAAGGTGGTACATTGGAATTTCCCATCCCGCTTCTACGCCCCTCGTGGACGCCAGGCAGCACATAACCCTTCTCAGACCCTGGCCCAGACAGTCGCCGAGCCACCCCGTCCAAAGAACTTCCAGGTAATCCTGTCGTTCGACGGCGGTCATAACCCGGCCTCTTGATGCTTTCTTCAGCCTGAGAAGCACCGGGAAAAGGGGATGTAGCCAGAGACATCCGCTTCTCAGACGACTGTTGTCGCCCCAGCCGGGCACGTTGAGCCGCGCCGGACGGTGGTACAGGCGGAGCCGCCGGTGAGGCATCATCACCGTCCTCATTGTCCAGGTAAAACACCGGTCGGGCCAGGAGTTTGTCGGTGTACTTAGCTGCTCGGTCGTAGATCTCATCCAGAGTAAGCGGAAGGTTTGGGTAGGTGACTTCACGGTGGTAGGCGGTGCCTGGAGCAAGCCCCGACGGGAAAGACCCAAGGAGGTTCTGGGTTGTTGGAGTGCGGACGAGCGCTCCTCGGCGATCGCGAGCTCGTGACATCTTTGGAAAAGAATTTCAGGGCAGACCTGTTTCTTTCGAAATCATATATGCCTTTTTGTACAGTCACAATACGTAGAGGGAATCCTACGTGCAATGCATCTTGTTTTGCGTTTCTTTTGTGTAGCTGCGATCAAACTTACGAAAAACTTTCGAAGGGGTTGTCCAAGTGCGCTGCTGCATTCACTAGTAGCTGTACATTTTTTTACGTATACACTGTACATCTATGTCCCTGTCTGTAAACAGAATATCAGACTGCGCAGAAATCTCTCAAATTTCTCCTAAACAGGCGTTCTATTGACAGGGCCAGTAAAGAAAAATCAACTCTCTTCTGTCCAACATATAAACAAGATTTTCTTGCAGTCGCGAATGGAGAAATGTGTGTCGGAGCACGCGGGCGCTTGTAGATTTGGTAAACGGTTGCTTGATCGAGTTACCCCTGCCGGAGTTTGATGACCGTAACTTGGTATAACCAACAAAATTTTCCACTTGAATATCACTCCTCACGTGGTCGATTACTTCTGCCCGTCGTTGTTTCCTTGAATTGTTCACTTTGAAATTCAGTACACACGTAACTTAAGACAGGCTCAGTTTCACCGTTTATGACTTCGGAGGTGCAGGTTCCTTCTCGATTAATTGCCTTGAGGGGGCATTGCTTTATGAAGTTCAAAATAAGACGATCCGACAATGTGAGTTCTTGGGCTAAGTTGATGAAACCACCAGTTAATTGGCAAAAAGAGCAAACGGCCAAGAAGTTGCCAGTGAAGCATCTGTTTACATGAAGTTTACAAACAAGAAGTTAAGTCTTCAGAATGTGGCGTATTAAAGAGTATACAAATAGAGCAAAAATCCTCGCCTCGGGGGGGAGCGTGGAATTCTTAGGTCTGCAAAGAGAACACACAAAAGATGTCTGGAACTCCCACCGGTAAGGTACTTCTCAATAAAAGCAAACTATATGGTTGGCTTCTTTGATGTCTCAATCAATGATCATGTTTACTTTGTTGAGCACTTAGTAACAATTTGCAATTGGCCTCGCAAAATTCACCAGTTATGCGGAGTCTCTTCCAATTCGATCGTTGCAATTTAAATAGTCTAATTAAAAGTTGTGTTGCCAATACGTCGTTCAGGCCTTCTTGCCGGAATCATACTGAATCATGCAGGTGTGTCCGAAAGCTGTTAGTTCGACATCAGTAGACATCCACTTCTTTGACTTCATCGATGTTTTTTTTTTCCAGTTGTGGTACACTGGTTGTTAATCGATGGTGTGAAGTTGCCGAAGTCTGAAATGAAGCCTCCTGCCTTTACCGTGCTGAAGCTTCGAAGGTAACCCGTGCCTGTCTCGGTTTGTTCCCACGATCTGATCTCGCTGACTTCTGGTCATAGGGACATCAAAAGCTTGAAGTGGCCCTAGTGATTAAGATAGCATTTACCATGTTGTTGGGCAATCGTCGAAGGAAGCAAATATAGCCAGTCATACCACAGAGCAAAGCTGTGTGTGGGGAGGGTTTCGGAAAACTCCTTCCTGTGTACCAAGGCGACACACAAAGGCATTCTGTGTTTGCTCAGCCGATCATCCTGCAATCAGTGTTGTCTCTTTCCAGATGACTTGCAAAGGGCCAGTGAGGCGGGTACTCTATTGTGCGTCTTAACTTTCTGGTCACTAATAAGCTTATTAAGTAGGTTGCGGTTAGCAGCGTCATGAAAAAGTTGCCAGAGTTTTCAGGGTGCTGATTGTTGAAGAAGCTTGTTGTCAGAAATCGGCATGATCTGCCTGTACTTCAAAGGGGGTCGGCTATCTTCAGCAAGAAAAGACCTCAGGGTGATTTAATGAGAGAAGATGCAGTCTAATTCTAATGAAATTGGATGAGAGAAGGAAATGTAGATGAGAACTACTCGTGAATGGGAGGTAGGATGCAAGACACAAAGAGAGGAATCGAAAGAAAAGAGTAGGCATCGGTGAAGAAGGAGCCGTCCTGCATACATGATGCAGGATCAAGGCGTTTTATTGCCCTACCCCATTGCAAGAGGATGGCTTTCGAAGAAAAGTACTGAGGTTAAGAACCACAACGAAGGGAGACTGATAAAACATGGATTGAGAGGCAACATTGAGTGGGATAAATTTTATCGGCGGTTTTATCTTGACATGCATCTACCGATGCGAAGCTGCTTTCGAAGGTCATGATGCACCACTGACCTGAACTTTTGCAACTCTTGCCTCGCAACTTGTTGTCTGGCGCTGCATACACTGAAAGCAGCAGAAGGAAAGAAAATCGCACACTTCTACTAAGGCTATAACACCACGCGATTCATACTGCTCCGGCCAATCCGCTCTAAGTGGGAACAAAAGAGGGCGTGTTTTGAAATGAAATTGACAGTGCTTTGGTAGCACTCACCGCATGGGCGTGCGAGTTCATGCGCGTTTGACACAAATTACGCTGAGTACGCGCAACAAATTTATTCTTGAACATAGATAAATCTATGGTCTGGAATATGTGGTCTTAGCGTGCACGCCGAACGCGTGCAAGAACCCGGTTGGAAAATTTAGTACCATCTGTCTTTCTTTCACCGGTGAGGGTGCACTTCAGCTCAGGGTGGATAACATAGACATATAAACACATAGACCGCCAGTCTTGCGCGTATAACCGTGATTTTGAAAAGTATAGGCAAACAATGGGCAGAACGGAGCATGACAGCGCGTCCAGTGCGCATTACGCGCAATGCACTTTGCCTGTATTTGTTTACTTGTGCTTCCAAATACGTTCACCTTTTTTGCTCTTCGTTACTGCTATCTCTTCTTTTCAACTGTTGCAACCGCATTCTTTTGAATCCGTATGGGTTTTTTTACAGTAAAAAAATGGCTTCATTCATTTTATGGCTGGAATTCTTAAACTGTGCATAACTTAAGGGGTAAATTTGCCCATAGTTTTGATTTTAGTCGGGCGCCGCGCAGATCACGAAAACCCCCTGTAGTTTCGAATAGGACCTAGCGGTCTATGCGTTTACGTGTCTGCGGCGGATAAGCAGTGTTAATACGGGGAGTCACAGACTAGACATGCATGCGTGCGTGCGTGCCGGGGGGCCGGGGAGTCTAGTACTGATTTGAAATAACGCAGCGCCCTCAACGCCAAAGGCGACATCTAAGTTCTGGGACTTTCTTTTCCATAATGTCTTTCCATTCCCTAAACTTACAATGAATCTCAAACGGGACTAACTTTATGTTTCTTTATGTTGTCTCTAAGGGGTGCAAAGTTGTTCACTGGAGACACAGATTTTACCTCATCTTTGTGACCCTCTGAGACTTACTAAACTGAGTCACAGATGCTGCAGTTAGCGCCTAACAAGGCGCAGAAAAATGCCAGGGGTGACGTCAATCTTACTGGCGAAGAAGAAATTCTATCCCCGAGGCGGTTAGGCCTGACGGCGAACGTACATTATGTGCCCCGATCAAATGCTCTCTTTGTCTAAGCTCCCAAGACGGAGTCGGTTTGCAAAGCAAATAAGTAATGCACGGTTCATCATTTTATCGAGCAAACAAGATCAAACACTTTCGGCCACCGAGGGGAAAAAACGGAAACGCTGTGAGAGCCGCAGTAATAGGAAGCGCAATGCGTGGTTTATTTTCTCAATTTCTTCATCGACGCCAGGATAAGCAGCCAGGCCGTTAAGCGATAGGATGATACTAACTAAACACATACAACCACGAGGTTTACTTGATATCGATGTTGTATTACATACACGCCCGTGGGGAAATTTCCTGAGTTGAGACTTGATGAAGTTCGTGAGAACGGCTGATTGAAAAATGGAAGAAGCATTAATTAAAGATTGACTACTTGTAGTGGGGAGAATTGAATAAGGGTCCCAAGTGATCATCAAGGTATCAAGATCATTCCCGTGTAGCATGTGTAGGCCTGTACATGCCTATAACAAAACGGAGTTAATTTTACACAAACTACTAGGCCTTTTGGTTGTGAAAAATATGAGGTGATATGTAAGAGTGGGCAAAATTTTATTTTCTGATTTTTCTGTACAAGGCCTGTCAAAAAGGTTACTGATTCTCTGAACCGTAGGGTGAGTTCACTGCGGCGCAAGTTGGGTTCGAACGAAAATAATGCGAGCAAGATGGGCGCGCTGCATGCTGAAGTCCTGTCTTGTTGCAACAGGTTTTCAACTTCAGAAGTTACCATTTTGGAATGATTTATTCATTTATAGAATCATCTGGGTGCTCGATTACGGATGTTGAATGACTTGTGCTTGTTTTGATAATATTTTGATCTTAAAATTGATGAAATTGAGCTTTAAGTTTGGGACATTTGTGTGCTAAAAGTTGTTGCTGGGTTAATATTGCTATACATTGATATTCGAGAAGTTAGTAACTTTTATCAAAAAGTTTTAAGCTTAATGTTTAAGATAGGAGAAGATTTCAAGATTGGTTACCGGGGTTATCGATAATTTGGTGGATATTTAGTGAAAGACAAACACATAATTAGATCAAAGACGACATTTTTTGAAAAAGTTCTGCATTCCAAATGTTTGTCACAACTACGTCCGCAATACAGATATTAATATGACGCGCAAAAAATGTTATTGTAATTGTTCATTGAGCTGTTGAAGTGTTGTATTCACGTCGTAGGATAAGATTTTTGAGATGGCAGGTTCTCCAAAGAAAGCTGCTTCTCCGAAGCGATCCCAGTCACCGACAAGGTCTCAGTCACCGACCAAGAGGGCCAAGTCGTCTCCCAAGAAGTCCCCGAAGAAGCGTGCCAGGTCCCCCAGCAGGAAGGCCAAGCGTGCGGCTCACCCTCCCGCTAGCAAGATGGTCGTTTCTGCGATTGCTGCCATGAAAGATCGCCGTGGCTCGTCTGCTCAAGGCATCAAGAAGTACATCGCCGCCAACTTCAAGGTGGACACC